TTGGGTGGGGCGGGGTCTCAGGGAATCACGGGGCGGTGCAAACAGCAATGATTGCCGGTTGGCCTTGCCCCAGATAGGTCCCTGAGTCTCTGTGTCCCATGGCCCCATGCAGGAACAATAAACGCTACAAGCACCTCTGCGAGAAAGCCGCCCTCACATTCCGGCCCAATGCCAGACAGTCCAATTTCTCTCTGTATGAGTCTGGGTCCCCAGATTCTTGCCTGGAACTGGATTTCAGAGCAGTCGGGAGCTTATATTTCCCTCCCAATTGAAAAAGACAACAGCGTACCCAGCTGCCAGCCCTTTCGTACACGCTTCCGTACCTCCACACTTCCATACCTCTGCACCTCCTACCGGACTCAGTGCGCTTTTCTCTTTCTTCTAGTTGTAGAATTTCCACTCAGCCAGCCTTCCTGTGGTTCTGGATGATGTCCGTTTTGTCTTTTAGTTGTATTTTTGAGGTGGTTGTGCGAGGCAGCAATTTCCGGTGTTTACCTATGCCACCATCTTGGTTTCCCTTACACTATCTTTTACTGATTAAAAAACTTAGTAATTATAAACTTAAAAAAAATAGACAATTTCATGTAGGTACCTTTTGCAGTTGTTGAGTTTCGCTTGTTGCCTCCTGGCAGGAGTGAAGAAAACTTGTTGACACAGTAACCACTCTTGGTGTAGGCACTGGTAGAACCCTATTTGGAAAGAAAGGTACCATTAGACATCAGTTCTCCTCACACTCTTGCTCCCACACTCTGCAGAGGTATCATCAGCCTAAAGATGGCTTTCAAAAAATCTTCCTACAGGCAAGTATTTCAATCCCCATGCCAGGCACAGCTGCTGTGGTGGACAAGGAACATGAAGTGCAAAGAATCCCTCTTACTACAGACAAGGCAATGGTGATGAAAGAGGAGGCAGCTACTCACCCTGGAGGCCACGATAAGCGCTCTTTTTCCAACAGGGCACACAACCACAATCCATTCCTGCCCCAAATCCGAAGGGACGTCAATTAACCACTCAGAAAGCATCAACTGGGAACACAAAATATGGTGTTAAAAATCAGCAGGGGTGTGCTGCTCCACTATTTACAATGACAAGGAATCTATGTACTATCTATATACATAAAAGCTAATATGCTAAGTGTCCCACTGCCCGTCCAACTGGTCGCTATGACACACACTGGGGACAGACGCTCAACGCAGAGCTGCCGAGCTGCAGTGAATTGGCAGCGGCGGTTCTCGGGTGACGCACCCTGAAACTATAGTGGAGGGAGCCCAATTCCTCGCAGGGCCGCGCGATTCCACCTTCAGCCGTGGGTTATGTTGTTGCTGGGGCACTGTCGGCCCTGAATCTGGTTTACTGGAATCTGGTTTATTGCACACTTGCTACGACAGCAACTTTGCAGGGTGCCCTCTTGCACTCGGGGACCCCTCGGGGGATGTCGGAGAGCCGATTTCGGCCCAATCCCCACAGGCCAGGTCGAGGGACCCCACCTGCTGGAGGGACCCCGCTCACTCTACAGACACCTTTTGAGCCATGGAGCCACACCAGGTGCAGCTGGCCAGCCAGGGAGGGACTGGGGGACGTTGGCTCCAGGGCATGTCCGGCCCGTCTCGCCCAGTCCTGCCCTGCCGGCCACCTTCGAATTAATTTCCTTTCAAGGTGCATGAATCTGTGCACTGGGTCACTAGTATTACATATCTATAATGAAAATACAAGTTAAAGAATGATGGCAGAAAAGACTGACAGTGGAGCCTCCACCCTACCTGTTATTAGCAGTCCACTAGTCTCCTGCTCAACTGATGGGATGGAGGCTACTCACTGTGAACTTCAACTTCTCTCCTCACCTTCATTACCTGCATTTATACCCATTCTTACTACCTTGCCTTCTAGACCTGGGTGATGGAACCCTCTTCCTTTCCTTACTTTGTCCACCAACCTACCATTACCATAATTATTATGTTCCAGGGGCTATGCCTTAATGATAAGGTCCCTGACATTGACATGCTCTTAAACTAGATCATTCTTTCCCAAACTGGTGATACAAACACTATACTAAAGAATATTAGGGCACTAGCAGGTTTGGCTCAGTGGATAGAGTGTCAGCCTGTGGACTGAACGGTCCCAGGGTTGATTCCAGTCAAGGGCACATGCCCAGGTTGTGGGCTTGATCCCCAGTAGGGGGCATGCAGGACAGCTGATCAATGATTCTCATCATTGATGTTTCTATCTCTCTCTCCCTTCCTCTCTGAAATCAGTAAAAAAATAAAAATAGCCCTAACTGCCCTAACTGGTTTGGCTCAGTGGATAGAGCGTCGGCCTGCGGACTGAAAGGTCCCAGGTTCGATTCTGGTCAAGGGCATGTACCTTGGTTGCGGGCACATCCCCAGTAGGAGGTGTGCAGGAGGCAGCTGATCGATGTTTCTCTCTCATCGATGTTTCTAACTCTCTATCCCTCTCCCTTCCTCTCTGT